GCGAACAGTAGAATAATTGTGCTGGTTTTATGAATATTTAAACATAAAGTTCGAATATTGGTACAACCATTTATACATCTACACTCTTGGTAATGAATTATTACCGGCGGGAGTGCATGTATGACTCAACCGGCGCGGTAATAACGATCATTACCATTTAGTAATGAATGCTATAGTAATAAAACAATTACCACTCGGAAACAAACTAATCCGATAGAAAGGTATTTAATACCTTTCTATCGGATTAGTTTGATAATATCAAATCTATACCTGCGCGGAGTGTGTATAAATACAAATTTACCATATTTTTAATAGTGTATTGTTAAAAAATTTACAGTCTTTAAATTTTTCTTCAAAATTAAGTATAATTTTTGTAGAAACATTCAAATAAATTTGATCAACCATTTTATTTTTATTTTTTCAATTAAAAACTTTTATTCGCCACATAAATGCACTTTAGATAGACAACCTCTCAGATTTTTTTGAAAACAGGCCATAGGGCAAAGAATCAATCCAATATATTTATTGTGGCACGGCAGATGCAAAATTTCCCAAATTTTTTCCCCGTCTCAGAATTAATTCTATTTACTTCTCAGCTTCAACACCACGCCCATCTCCCAACGTCACCTCTATCGGGAAACTTCTCTCCAAAACGGTGTACATCCACGTCTACGTGATTCCATATCTGATATCTGCAATCTTAGCGTTTTCTAATTGTGACCCCTTCGTCATCCTGCTAAATGCCCATCTTCCTGTATATTTTAGTCACAATTTTCCCTGTTATTTGATCCTTCTCACCGTACGGTTTCTCATTTTGACCGAATCTATCCTGGAATTCACTATGGCCACGTTATTCTCCGGGATGATCCTGACCACCTTGTTTGCCTCGATTTTAGACGATATGCTACATCTCGACGCTAGGTTAGAAAAAATTTCCAGTATTAACAAATGTTTGAAATATTTTTCCCGCGTTAAAATAATTTTTCACGAATTATGTCCAAAAGTGGAACAATTTTTCTTCGTTGGTCTCGTCATTTTGACAGTTTTGATCGCATTTTACAACTATGTTACCATCAAGCTGGGTGCCCTTCTGCCACTCGAATTAGCCTGGATTTTTCCTTTTTCCTCCGCAGTTACGATCTTATTCGCCCAGCTGTTGATTCCTGCGGGTGCAGGTATTTTTGAAGAGTCGAAAAAATTACTGGCTCGGTCGGGTTGTTTGATTCGTCGGAAACGACAATTCCTGACAAGGGGGAAATTTAAATATTTGATGTTAAAATGTGCAGCAGTTCAACCAATATTCTTTTCTGCACAGTTTGCCGGATGCAGACTATTCATGTTTAAAAAATCTACTAAAGCTACATTTTTAGTTTGTGTGAGAGATGCAAGTGTCAATGTGTTGCTCACTTTTTGAATGAAATTATGCTCGAATTGTGAAAAACTGTTGGGTGTGATTTATGAAAACACGCCTCTAAATACTATTAATTACACTAATGCCAGACCGGGGTCGGAATCCAGGGCGCATACGAACCACATAATGGCGGTGCGGTGCAAATTTTGAAATTTAATTTAAATTTTGAAATTTAGAATTATTTAAAATTGGAGAATTTAAATTAAATTTTCAAATTTAAAGTTAAATTAAATTGAATTAATTTGTATCTAAATTAAAGTATTTAATTTTAGATATGTTATTCCCCAGTCTAGACTAATTATAAAGTTATTATGGCGTCGTATATTATGTTAGTAGCAATTATATATTCAAATAATATTTCTTATAAGGCTATAAGGTAATATAATTATAAGTTATTACAACCTTTAATGATAATTTTTAGTTGATAGTTTTAGAAAGGTCTAAACAACGATGTTACTAAGGAGGTCAACTTACGAGGTTGTCAGTAACAGATCGGGTTGAAATTTTTACCAATGAAAGTTTTACATGAGTGTAACCTTAACCCTAAAAGGTTTTGACTCCATGGCCATAAATGGCTGAGAAAAAAATTTCTAAAGTTTCAAATTTTGTACTCGATGTTTGCACTTCTATCTGAGCTCACTCTAGTTCTATGGGGTGGATGTTTATTTGGCGTCTATCACATATTTTTTGAACGGATCGATATTTTTGAATCTGCTTTGGGCATCGACTTCTAATTCTTGGGGGTGGCCAAGTTCGGTCATGTGGTCAATCGGACCACCCCCCTTAGGGCGAGGGTGTGTGGTCAAATTGTTTTTTCTTAATTATTGGTTTCGTTTCACATGGATTGTACCACATTGCGGCCTGAATCATAAACACCATTATGCGACCTAGGTTCCTCCAGTCAGGGGGTGTGGTTATCTCGAAAAAAGTAAAATCATGACAAATTTTGAACTGGTCAACATTTGACAATCCTGTGCTCACAATACGGCACCATAAATTAATACAGAGTGACCGCCACATCCCATCGTAGTCGGGGGTGTAGTGGGGGCAAGATGAGATTTTTGCTGAAATTGAAGCTATGGATGAAATAAAGTAAAATTAATAGCAGAAAGAACCATCAGATTGGCCTACGATGAACTGGCGACTGTGTGGACTGGTCAAACCTCAAAAATGTCAAACTTTAACACTTTTCGCACGCATGTTAAAATATATGCATATGTATTTCTTGTACGTACGAACATATAGAAATTTTAATGTAAAAATGGATGTACGTATTCAGGTACATAGATGTGCATGTATGCACATCGAACCGAACCGAACCGGAAACCGAACTCATAAATGTGGGTTCGGTTTGAGATAAGGAGGAGAGTGGTCGAGTCTCTGCATTTCAATCGGCTAAACGTAACAACTACACACTTTACTAAGCTCTTTCTTTGCGCTTTGCGTATGAAAGTGTCAACTGTTAAATGGTGCACTGAAAATACTGCAATGAACTACCCAGGCTACTGAAAGAATATCTTTCTGACATTCGTCAACACTACGGGACAATCATCTCAGAATTTTTTGGGGGGCAGAATGCTGTGTGTGTGTCTTGTTAAAACCGAACTGCATTATCATACACGAGGAGGACCGGGTACATCATTGTTACTTCGTCGCCACATCTTGCTACATTTGTCGCCAAATGATGGGGGCCGGAACAGAGGACGCTCGTCCAGCCATCATCATTCGTCTCCACCCAAGGGACGCCTGGGGGTCATTCTTCGTTGGGAATCAGTGACCACATCGGGAGGAAGCGTACTACGACTTGTCATCACTCTCCAATGCGTGGACTTTGTTCTTCTTCCCTTTCCGGTAGGCAAGGTTTGCAGGAGCAACAGGACCCACGATTCCATATCACATTCGCCTCCTCCCCTTCTAATCTACCTACCACCGATCGGATGTCGTAATTTTATCTACACAATTTTATCTACACAATTCTCCCTTCTCCCAAAACATCAACATATGTCGCATCTCAATGACTGGGCTGGCTTCCTCTCCTCACAGCAACATTCCTTGACCCATATCACGTCGCCCAAATTCTTCAATTATGGACTGGAATCTCGGCTGACTCAACAATTACAGGTAGCCCGTAGATTATACGAACAAGACAATTTCAGGGGTAGCATGCGAACGCATGGTTCAATTTGCGCCATATAATTTGGCACACATAATTTTGAATTTCACATCAACACGTGTGCCAAGTATCAAATTTCTACCTTTAAAAATACTGCGAAAAATTGACCCCAAAGTGGAAGAGTCCGTGAAAGCGGTTTCCGAAGTTAATTTGACCCTTCACGGTATCGAAACGGTCATGGAAAAATCTGGAATTCATCTCGGCGTCAGCATAATATTGTTAATTGTAAAGGAAAGCGACAACAATCAGTTGCATCCGGCCGAGGTATACCACGAAATTCATACCCCTCCAAAAAGAAGAATTCTGCCATCCTAAACAAAATTGACCGTCTCACTGATAAGGCGAATCCCCCGACCCAAAGAGAGATCGCAAAGCAATGCCAGGTATCCAAGTCGTATGTTAATACAATCATTCATCAAGATTTTTGAAAAACCGTGCAGCAGAAGGCAAAACTCCACGCACTAAAACCATCTCATATTGCAAACAGAGAAACAAACAATAGGAAGCTATATGAGGGTCATCTTGCGGGTAAAAGGTCCAAATATGTCGTCATACTAGATGAGGCACTCTTCTTCGTTGAAGACTGCAACAGGTCAAAAGGAATTTGTTACACAAAGGACCGGAAACGAGTGTGAAACTATGTGTGCCAGAAAACAGAATAGTTCTCTGATCGATTCATGGTGGTCGGTGCAATGACGGGCCATGGGGTTATAAAATTAATACCTGCAAGGCCAAATGCTCACATTACTTTAAGTAATATGTGGACAATGTTTTACGAAAGTTGTTAGAAGTGGAAATTCCAAACAAGCACCCTGGGGAGTTGGACAAAGTTTTCATCCATCACGACGCTGCATCGTCACTAAGTACTAGATGTAAAGTAAGCAAAACCCGTGTCAATACAATAAAGTATTATGCTGCTATTTGCTAAATAGTTTTATGTAATCTAACCCTTTGAACCAACATGTTTGTATATACGCAAAATTTTGTGAGTGTCCAACACTATTAAATTAAAATTATGACATTAATTAACTTTGCTTATGTATGCATATTGAAATGTTATTGATTAAAATATAAAACTTATGAAATCATATGCATTATAAGTAAATATTTGTACATACATGTAACATTGAAGTAATTATAATTATACATAAATACATGCAAAATTGTCCCACACTAGGTAAATACAATCAATCATGGCAACATGGTATGGCACTATTCCCATGGAACCAACATGGATTAGCACTGAAAGCCAGGCACGAAATAATTAACAATTATTTCAAATCCTTTATGGATTTACCAAAGTGTTTTTCAGAATAATAGTTAAGTAAAGGTTCCAAAACTACCTATGTATGAAACGAACGAGGTGAAATTACTACTGCTAAGTTCATACTGAATTTTTGCTTTATAAATCATAAATTGTCTGTGACATATTTAGTTATTTATTTAATTCAGAAATAAACATGAATACAATTTCTTGATGTCAAATATAATTACTAACTCCATCTAATTCTCTGATAAATATGTACTTTCTAACATTTCTAAGAGTGTAGATACTTTACTTCTATTTCTAAAATGTATGTACACTCTTAAAAATCCAGTGTTAAGATAACGCTTTTCGTATATTTTGATAATATGAAATTGCCCAATTTTAAAATAAATCCAGTTCAAATTGCACCAAAATCAAATTCACCCAAGGCAAAACTTGGGTGGGACGGGTTTTTCATGCACGCCGGGAGATGCAGCTCTGTAGATGAAAAATATGGCTAAATTAGCATTTGATTAAAATAGCCATTTAATTTCCGACCCATAAAAATAAAAATAAAATTTTAAAACCTGGTGATCTTTCCAATTTCTGTTTTCCATATTTTTTCAAACATGAAAAGTGAACAAGATGGGAACAAATCTGATACGCGTCTTGGACATTGTAATACTTTTGTAACTCTGTACGTGCAAATTTTTGTAGTGATAATGACGACAATCTTCCCACAGCTTTCCTGATATGTTCCTGTTTTGAATTGGGTGGTTCCAGAGCCTGTAATTTTCTCATATCTGCAAAATCTGCTAGAACGTAGTTTCTTAAACTCGCAACTTTGAACAATTCTTTTAGACGACGTTCTTGACCCATCCCTAAGAATAGCTGACCTTATTAAGTTGTTTAATTAGAAAAAAAAACAAATGGACACTTACGTATTGCGTTACCGCCATTGGAGGTTCCACCCACTTTGAAATTTTTTTCTACCGTTGCTATTGAATTTTCGGGTGGAGTTTGGAATGCGCTGGGGCCGTCGCCTAAAATTAAAGTATAACTTGTTTGTTCACGGATTATTAGCTATTGAGTACTTAAAATGGATGCTTATTTAAGGTTATATATTGAAATATGAAACAAGGTGTCTTGTTTTACTACATATTTCTAAAAAATTGTTAAAAGTATATTTAGCTGTACATACCAATGTCGGAATTAATCGTGGTGCAATCCATTGTCTAACTAATTTCTTCGGATTGTATCTAAATTCCGTTTTATCTTGTTTTGAATTTTCAAAATTTAGTAGAATTGTTTGAACATGAATAAATTTTCCAGTTTCTGTGAAAACTTCTGATTATCTGGGTTCTATGTTCACACTATTTTAGCTTTACATTTTATCAGGTAGTCTTCCTGAGCATGGGAGGTTTACTTGTATATATTCTGCCTTTATTGTTTCTATTTCCTTATGCACATATGTGTGTGACAATACGTGAACTAAATATAAATGAAGAAGGACCCAAACTCTAGTTGACAAAAGGTAATGTTATTCAGGGGTGAAAGTCATTTATAAGGCTTTACATATGTCCGTCTGTCCATACATACGACCGTTCCTTGCTCCGGTAAATAGTGAACGCAACGATATAAAGACTTGAACGTAAGTTTTTAGGTCAAGGGGCACACCTGATTAGAAAATAGGGGGGACAGGTCACACCCTTCAAGATCACAAAAATATCACATTTTTCAAATTGTGCATACACTCGTATGTGAATTTAATACATAGGAAATGTAATCCCGCATTTAATGGTGACCTTACGTTTGACCTTATAGGTCACGACAGAGCAGGAAAAGGTCACTCAATGTCAAATTGTATACACTTACAATTATTTTTATTATTTTTTAAGCATGCCTTCCTCCAACTATGGAATGCAAATAAATTCAAATATTATGAAATATTAAATATAATCTCGAAAATGTAAATGTGCACGGAAATAAAGCATACTATGCTTTATTTCTTTTATGATATGCTTTATTATAATTGGTTTTACTGGGTAGGAGAGCAAAGGTTCAAATATAAATTTTACCATGAGACAAATCCATTCCCCGGCTTAAGGTTAAAATTCTCAGAAGGTGGACAATATATTCAGATAAAGTAGTCATTCAATGGGCTGGCTGCATATTAGTATGTAAATATCCAGCCACGTTTTGACAGTTACTTTATGAATATATAAAAAAAGGACAATAAGTATCTCCATCATTCCTATTTCACCTGCTTAGTTTTCCAACTATGTGGACGTGAAGGCAAAAAAATACCACCTTTTCTACACGATTCACTCACTCTTAAAAAATTCTATTCAGTAATCAACCAGACTAGGGACACGACGAGGGACATAAATCCGACACGACTAAAATTTTTGCTTAGACTAAAGAAGTTTTAACGACAGAAATCTTAACACAACATATTCGCTGTCCAGATGGATAAGAAATTGGAATGTTCCAAGTGCTCAAAAACCTCTAAAAACAAGCAGGCCTTAAAGAAACACATCATCATGCACGATAAAGATGCTCAAGTGAAATGCGAAGTAAGGTTCTAATTTAACTTTCAAAGCATGAAGTTAAAAACTTACCCAAAGTTTTAGATTTTTGAGGGGAAAGTGAGAAATGTTGTATTTCGTGACCTATTTAGGGGTCGCGCAAATTCAGAAAAATTTCCTTCCACAAAAAAAAAACACATTGGGGGGTCCCTAATCTTCCCTAAATTAATAAAAATGTACATATCGCTTAGCTTTACAGGAAAGTTTCAAAAAACTCGGTTGCCTTGGTGGCCCACATGCCGAGATGTCACACCAACCTAAAACGTCCCCGAATGTGTGAGACTTGTACCCGGGTGTTTATCAGCTCTTACAATATTAAAACCGTCCACAACCCGACGAGGGTCCGCTGGCCATGCAGTTTTCCCGGTTGCGATAAAACTTATCAGAACAAAACAGGTTTAAATAAACACTTGAGAATGGACCATGTCGAAAATCCGACCAAATTTCCGTGTACCTTATGCCGAAAAGAATTTAAGGTCAAGACCAACCTTGAGCGTCACATAGCCACCCACACGACTGAGAAGACGCATAATTGTTCCATTTGTGCAAGAAGTTTCGCAGGACTGCACGACCTGAAACGGCACGAGGTAAATAAAGACGAAAGTTTATATTAACCTAATTGTGACCGTAATTATAAAAAAAGCATTTTCCTTAAGTACGATATTAATTATATATCTACATACCCCAGGGTTCCCACCTATACCAAAATGTGCACAATGTACGACTTATGAAGTAAAGTGACGTGCAAAAATCCTATTTACGCTCGCCTCAAATATCGTCTCCTCTTGGCGAAAAGTGATTTGTGCACGTAAATTCCTTCCCTTTACTGCATAAGTCGTATATTGTGATCATTTTGGTATAGGTGGGAACCCTGGATTCGACTGGCACCTTTGAAGTTTCCCTCGTTAATACTTGAACGAGTCATTTCAGCCAATTAAATTTCCATGATTTCCTGTAAAACGAGAGAGCATTTGTTCAGCCAGTGTCTAATTTCTTAATTTGTTCACAAAAAACCAGAAAAATCCAGTATTTAACATTGGTATGTAAAAAATTGCAGAATTTTTTGGGAAAAATATTTTTAAAAGTTATCTTGTTATTTAAGTGTGTTTCACACAAAATACTAAAGATATACTCCAAGTTTTGAGAAATTTTGAGAACTCTGCATTAAAAACCTCCAGTGCAGCCTTCATATAGCCCGAGTCAGGGATTGGATCTGATTTTTACTGTGTCCGACTTCTCCGAGCAACTATTCCACCCCCCCGTGGTGGGGCTGGTGCAATGTTGTATTACTTAGCACTAAATGTGTAAAGTTATTTGCAAATCCCTCACCTTGCCTACAAGGACCAGTTGGGGTCGCTTCTTTCAAATTTAGAAGTTACAAATTTGTATTTGCTCTATAGAAGTCATTTTTAGCCGCTGTGCCAAATTTCAGCTGCAACTAATATCTTTCAAAAACCGGCATGGGTCACCCGGAAGGGTCTCTCTGGAGACACCATGCTCGCTTTTAACCTTATATTCGTTCTTAAGAAGCCCTAGAGTATCAATGTACCGAATCTCATCTTTTTAAGACAACTTCTGAAAATCAGTATGGGTCATGCGATAGGGTCCCTATGCATAACAACTTTCCAAATTTCACTTCACATTTTTGCATTAGGGGCCATTAGCAACATCTATGCCTAATTTCGGCTCGATTGGACGATTTTGAAAAACGGTATGGGTCACCCGCTAGGGTGACTCCGGTTAAAACTTTTTCAAATTTGACTTCATATTCTTTCATTAGGAGCCATTAACAACCTCTGTACCAAATTTCAGCTTTCTACGACAATTTTGAAATTTTGGTGCATAATACCCCACCCACCCACATGACCCCCACCGGTCAACCACTTGACCGATTTCGCCCCTCTTCGAACTTAGCTCCTCATTTGCCCCCTTCTACATGTGTACCAAATTTCAGCTTTCTGCGACAATTTTTAAATTTTGGTGCATAATACCCCATCCACCCAGACGACCCCCACTGGTCCAAATCTTTTTGATCGGACCCATGTTCGAACTCGGTCGTTGCATTGCCGAGATACATGTTTCTGCCAAATTTCATCCAAATCGGTCAACTCGTTCTTGAGTAATCGTTAGTCAGACAGACAGACAGACAGACAGACAGACAGACAGACAGACAGACATGATGATTACATAAGCCCTGACTCGGGCTAAAAATACATTTAGTCCTCAAGAGACAAGTTTTGATGTACCTGATTTGACCATAATGAGGTTAAATTTATATTTATTTTCTAGATGACCCATTTGGAAAAATGTGCACGAGAGATTTTCAAGTGCAACCTTTGTCAAATGAAGTTCTTGAGTATTATCTACTTGCGCAGGCATATCCGGGTTGTTCATGAAAATCGGAAAAATCGGAGAAATTGTCCTTGCTCATATTGTGGCAAACAGTTCTCGCTCTCGGGTAATTTGAAACGCCACGTCCAGTCGTTGCACCCCGTGACCAGGGAGAAGATTCATTCCTGCGAGTCTGTGAAATTTATGGTAATTTCAGAATGATAAATGCACAATAAATTTTGAAACACCTTCCACCGAGAAGTAATAATTCTTTTACAGACCAACTGCTCAAATCAAAAGCACACTGCGACTACGACTCAAAGATTTAGACCATGATATCAAACTTGGTTTTGAGTATCTTTCACTCCCACTTATTTAATACGCTTTTCCACGATCCTTTGTGAGTTGACTTGTGTTACGGAAACTTGCACTGTTGTAAAAAGTAATAGGCGAGTACAGGAGTCACTCTAAGTGCAATTTAGACAAGCACAAAAGACGGCACCGTGCCAAGAAATATGTTTGTTACTTTCGTAGCAAGCAATTCGTCGATTTTAGTAATTTGGTAAAACATTGTAGTTTAACTCATACGCTAGAGCAGAAATTATAACTCTCCTCCTCTCGCTCCAATGCTACATAGGCTCGCCTCAAATATCGTCACAGATTGACGAAATGTGATTAGTGATGTTTCGTCCGAAGCAAATATCAAATTGCACTATTTACTACTAATTGGTATTACGTTAATTATAGATAATGTCAGCACAGATAATTATTTTGTGAAATAGTTAATTCATAGTTAAGTATTTTTGTGTTATGAAAAAAATGTGTCTCAAAACTCAAGATTTTGATTTTGGCACCACTGACTTTCTTGGTTTGATTTTGGCTTGTAACAAAACCAACTTTCTTGAAGCAAATTCAATTTGGTTTGGCTTCCCGATTTTTTAAGCCAATCCGAAGCCAATTTGATATTTGCTTCGGACAAAACCTCCCTATTTTTGCACTAAATTCCTCCGCTTTACGTGATAACTTTGTTAATAACGCGTCTACTTGTTATCATGCACAATTTGGTATAGGCGAAAGCTATACCAAAGAATGCCTTTAAGAATACGATTCGCTTACGTGGCTTGGACCTGAAACACTGCGTGGGCATATCTTCTTTCTTCTAACATGCGATGGTGTGAACTGTAGCAATAAAATTTCTAATCATTTCAAAACTATGTAGTCCACGTCAATAAAACCAAGCTTTGGTAAAGTAGTTTGTGCGATGGCTCGAATTTGTTAAAATGTGTGAGATTAAAATTAAAAAATGTATAATGTGAACCCCACGGGGAAAGTAATCTCCTCATCGTTCCATAATACGGAAAAATCGACCATCTTTCAGCTTTAGCCTCAAAGTTGCTCCATCTTTAACTTCTAATTTGCAAATACTAATTATTCGATAAAATAAATAATTCCGACAACTCCAACTCTGTGGAGGTTTCTGTTACGCATTTATCTCGGCTTTTCTTAGGAAACCTAGTGCATAAAATATTCACGTTTCCAATTTTTTCTACCTTCCAGACTTGAAATCATGCGACATTAAAAGATATTTACACATAAGGAAGGTTCAAAGTTTCTGGCAAACATATAAACTTGTACTCGGTTCCATATTTATTGCGATAAAAAATATGGAAACCAGGTTATTGATTTACAAAGAATGCTTTGTGTTCCGAAATTAATTAGTCTAATTTACAAAAACACGCAATGGGTGTGACACTTTCGTGACACCACCAGCGTCCACTGGGATGGTTGCGCTCCGCCCTTTTTTCAATAGAATCAGGCTAGAGAAGGTAAAATGCAAAACAAGATAAAATATGTATGAATTTTCAATTTGCAAATTGTGTCCAAGCTAAACCTTAACTATGTACCTATGTATGCTTATACAGTTCTGAATTTGAAATAAATATCATCCGTAACTACAGATTGCAAAAGTGAACGATATATGTACATGTGTGCATCGATATATTTACAATTTTTCATTATTCAATAAACTATCAAAATTAAGGAAATAAATTGTTAAGATAAACATAAACCCAACCCGTTGATTTTTTTGTATATTTCAGATCAGTTCGTTTATATGTACATATTTAGTTGCAATATATTGAGCGTGACATATAGTAACCTTTACTCCGTTGCGAAGACCGGCTTACCTTGAACCTGTCGACGGTGAATGTTGTTGGTGCTTCAAATATGTCATCTTTCAATTTTGACACAAATCGGCATGTGTCGAAACACTTCAGGGCAACATTCGGGATAATTTTAGGCCACTCAATTTGTTAAATTCTCAAAACCGCATCAAGCAGCCTGGTTGCTCTTATCGGAAACAGGGGTTTATTAAATAGTTAAAACCATAAAATTTCAGAGAACTAGTGTCGGCTTGGAAGGTACATATGTCGAATTTCTACATAAAATTTAGCCAAGGAACTCACATGAAACGCACATGAGGGAGGCATTACGGTATATTGTCATAGATCACTCTGTATTGTACATATTTAGTTAAAGAATTTGGACTTAACTAGGGTTAAATATCTCTTTGACTTGTCCCACACAAAACTTACGTCATGTTTACCATTCAAAAATTCCTACCTATAATGAGGTGTTGTTTCTACACAAATTTATACGTTATTGTAGTTTCCGCCGTTTCGAACATGGTTTTCACAGATTCGCAACCTCCCACTATAAACTTGGCACAGTCTTTATTTCAGCACTTGGATCACGACTGCCAATTAATTGTTGCTTATCATAACAATTTCCAAAATTCTGACATACTTTCTACCCCAATCCCGTCCAACAAAGGAATATACATATTTCCCCTTCCACAAATCAACACAACTAATTGGATCGAAGATCTAGATCCAGCTATTCATCGAGACAATAATTTTCATGGGATCTACGCAATTTCACAAAAAGTTACCTTGTCCTCACCTTTCTGCTTGATCGGTGTAGTTATCACGAAAAATTCCGACTTTGACACGAACTTAGAACTTCCTGACGATGCATTTTCTCTCTTGACCGAGAAACAAACCGAAATATTGTATAACATTTTGTTCTCGAACCACCCCAGTATTTTATACAATGAGGACAAGTTCAATCTAAAGATTTCACTCCTGATCCGTGTCCAGTTAAACTTTACTCGTCTCATGCGTGAAAGGGTAATGTATCCTGCCATATTTAAATTTGTATTAAATCTAGTAATTGTCCAGGGGCGAGATGAGTGGTATCATGTCAACCCTACTTCGCCCCGGGAGTACCAAACAAGACTATTGTCCACACCAGAAATTCTTCATGCAATACGTAAAAATTCCCGATTTAACTATATCTTGGTATATCCACCAACAGATTTTTTCATGAGAAGCAGGCATAGTTCCTACCTCCACCTGTGCGGGTATTATACCCGAAAAGAATCTTGCGAGGCGTACGGCAAGAATCCATTCCACTTAATAATAAAAGAGCGATATCTTCCTCGTGCCGTACTATTCTTCAGTCTTGTTTGCCTCGGAAATTTCACGTATGGCGAAGCATACGATAATGGAGTTTCGAGAAATATGCTCCGCAGATTTCGAGGTCAAGATGAGTCAACCTATGCAGAACGGGTATATGTCGGCATGTACAGGGATGACGTACGATATGCATCCACGCACTATGTCACCACCATGAAGCAAGGATATTCATTCATGGCGTGCTTTTCGAGGGAGGAGTTGTCATTTAAGATATTCCTGCAGCCATTCGAGTTTCCCGTATGGGCCGCTCTATTATTCACATTGACCATTATTGTGACTGTTTTTGTCGTCATTTTGATAAATACGCTACAGTGGGGACCCCTTGAAGCGACATCATTTGCACAGTTAGCCGTTATAGGTATTCTGCTAGAGAAGCCGATTGATACTGGACGCACAATAGGGAGGATTTCAGCATTCCAGTTCTTATTCGGATTTTGGGGTCTACTCGCACCAACATTATCAAATGGCTACCTGGGCCTAAGCATTACGTCTATATCGTCTCCATTAGAATCAACATCGGTAACGAGATTCAAACAGCTGAGCAAACCAGGATGCGACTGGGGCAACGTGGAATGTCAGATTAGTAGAATTAAAGGATTGAAAAAATATTTGGCTGCTTTAGATAACCACTTGGCCAGTTCGTTACTGAGATTACTGTACGACAAGCCATACATGGAGGCTTATCGACCTTCAGCCCATGATGTAACCTGTCGTACTTCAGAGGCCCTCCGAATTCAATCCATCCGAAGGTTCGACGTAAGGCAAGATTTTGTCTTGCTGCCGTATTTGTTTGAAGACGACGTTTTTGATAAAATGTCTGCAAGTCCATATATTTTTTACAATGTGCTAGAGGCCAAGTTAAAAGCGATTGGTCAATTGATTTTGCCTAAATTGGAATTGGGACATAAAACAATTTCTGCGGTGCTGACGGAAACTCTGAGGTTATTGGATTTACTTGACCCCTGGCATATTCCACACCCATCACTTGAGAATTTCACTGACACGATCTATCTTAAAAACGAGTGGGATATTGAACATGCTCTGATACAGTGCGGTCGCACGGCTCTTGTACTAGAGGACAAGGAAATTAGTAAGGAACTTCGTTACTTCAATAAGCACTATCCGTGGTTAAAATTTTTCAAGTCGGAGTCGTCAATCCTAACGGCCGAGTCAGGATGGATGTTCCACGTCGATGGAGTATCGATTACACCTCGAATATTTGGAAAATTGTATGTCGCAGGGATCGCCCAACTCCTGGAGGACTGGCCGCATATCGCAACGCAACGAAGGATAAATATTACCAGAAAGGTCCACACATTTGTGGAGCCAAGAGAAATCACAAAAAAAACTTCGTTGGGTGGCAATATTCAGACAATTTTTTATATTTACCTTGCTTTTATATTATTATCATTTGCTCAAATTTTGGTAGTGGAACTTAAAATATATAAAAACTTTTGGGATAGACTGCATCTTTTTATATGGTGGTTTGCTGTGCAATGGAAATATGGTGTTATAGCTCTTAGAAATGCGAAGGACCATTGAAACGGATTGCAGCGACGACGAAGAAGTAAACTAGTAGTTGTAAAATTCAATGATAGTTTAAAGTTTGAAAGTATTAATTAAGCGTGCAAAAAACATTGTAGTGGTTATCGTCACTTCGAATTTCGCTTGGTTTTTCGCTTGTAGATAGCAGGGCAGATATGAGGAAAATTGAAAAACCTTGTTCCCACTAGAGCTAAGCGAACTTAATCACATTTCTGAGTTGAGTTTCTATTCTATTGTCCCAGAGCTCGCTTATCAGGGAATAAGCGAAAAACTAAGCGAAATTCTAAACGACGACTTTTTCATGTGTCTGAGGACCACCAGTATGTAACGAAATTAAACATATGGTGAGCATGAGTCTCACTCTTTCCGTAATGACTCATGCTTGCTATTAAATTTCAGCATTATTTTTTTTAACCATTTATTCATTATGTATCTGTCCCAATATCTGCAAAATTTCGGACAAATTGGACTAATTTTAAGTACTATAGGTAAGTTTTTGTCATTCTTTTAAATTCAATTTCTAAATTTTTCACAATTCGAGCATAATTCCTATCGGAAAGTGAGCAACACATCGACACTAGCATCTCTTACACAAACTAAAAACGTAGCTTTAGTAGATTTTTTAAACAAGAATAGCCTACACCCGGCAAACTGTGCAGAAAAGAAGATTGGCTCACAGCTGCACATCTTAACATCAAATATTTAATGTTGTCGACAAATCAAACGACCCGACCGAGCCAGTACTTTTTTCGACTCTTCGAAAATATTTGCACCGGCAGGAATCAATGGCTGGGCGAATAACGTCGTAACTCCGGAAGAAAAAGGGAAAATTCATGCTAATTCGAGTGGCAGAAGGGCACTCAGCTTGATGGTAACATAGTTGTAAAATGCGATCAAAACTGTCAAAATGGCGTGACCAACGAAGAAAAATTGTTCGACTTTTGGACATAATTCGTGAAAAATTATTTTAACGCGAGAAAAATATTGAAGCACTAGCAAACATTTGTTAATACTACACAATTTTTTAACCAAGTGTCGAGATGTAGCATATCGTCTAAAATCGAGGCAAACAAGGTGGTCGAGATCAACCATACGCCACAGATAAAGATGGAAATCAGGAGTGGGAAAAGATGCTCACTATGAAGGTATTATACATATACGGTATGTGCATGATTTACACTTGCTTATAAATATAATATTTTAGCACATTTTAAGCCCAGAAATCAGAACGATTTTTCACGCGAAATGAAATCCTCCGTAAATCGAGTTAAATTTTAATAAGGACCAGGGAGAAATGTTATTTTTAGAAATATTATTATTACGGGCAGAAATTAATTTACAGTACAATCTGAAATTGAAATTCACAAAATAAGTTCAAATTTAAGTCAAAACTTAGGATTAGATTTTATACATAATTCCCTCAAAATACGTAATCGGCATATGTAATTATTTCCCAATGCGTACCTTCATTCCCAGGTAACTCCGGAGTTCAGTCATAAAAAGGTTATCAGCTTCTGGAAATAATGTCAAAATTCGGCCAAACCTGGCATCAATCTTGCCGCCTTCAAATTCGTGGAACATCTCGCTATAAGTCTGATGTGATAAATTATTCGTAACGTCAAGTCTGGTCACACTTTCACAAATTGAAGCCCCCATGGGAAAGAAGGGCTCGAAACAGGGCATCCAATTACCATTCCATTGAAGGAAAGTTAACGATTCTAGTTTTAGAAATGTTGTTGCGTAATTGATAATTGGTGAAGAATCAAAATCAACGCAAAAGTCGGAACCGTGGTCGTCATAATGGAGCAAATTTAGTCGTTTCAAGTTGGGAAAATTCGGAAATTTCCAAACATCTCCAGTTCGTAATTTCCCCAATCCTAG